GTAAAATAGTCGGATAGCCAAGCTAACAACTGCTTGGGACATTCAAACGATTCCAGTTTTTGTAACAGCTTAGATCGGGAAATGGAATCAAATGCAGAAGAGTAGTCGAGAAAAACACACCGGCACAGACTTAACAGAGCTGTTCAACGATTTAGCGATGAAATGAATGAGGATAGAGACTGCGTCCAGGGTGGATCTATTTGAACTTAGCATTATCTTGGGGTTTCACTACAGCCAAAAGTTAACTTGTAAATATTGCATTAACGAGCCGAGATGGAAAATGTTGCTTTGTTACTTTAAATAAAAATCAGCATCGGATTTCGAGCAGCAACACGCATCAAAAGAGCTCAATGTGTGCAACACACACGCCCAGAACTACCTGAATGTGTTGGTTGTGCAAGGCATTTCGCGATACACCAAATTTGACGGAAACCAACCGGTCACTGTTGGACGTCCGCGATCGAGCAACGTACCAAACCACCAACCGTCCGGGCTTCTTTTGTACACACGCAACAGGTCGCCCGGACGAATGGACAATTCATCGGCCAACTGAGCCTCGTACGTTTGAAAAACACGACAGTAAAAGTCTTCTGTGCGTTCGCTGATCGGGACCGGGGTCTCGGGAACCGGATCGTCAAGTTGTTTTGTTTGAGTAGCAGACACTGGAGTGATTGAGCCCTGAATGATGAAAGTGGCGTAGTGCGCATTACGACTCGAACGAGAGGTAACAACCAATGAGAATACCGGAAAATTTGCAACTGAATTCATACCATGGAAGCTCAAAATAAATTGAAAACATGGAGTATTGGTTATTTGCTGGGGAATCAATGTGCTTTAGAAGTTTGTGTGGGTACGGAACGTTTTGCCTGTGGTATACTTTTGTACGCAAGAGGTAGAAGAAAGTAGGTCAATTCCTCCTGAAAACTTTAGAAATAATGTTCCTAGATAGATTCAAATGAAAGCTAAGTCTGAGGTCAATGGTATGGATATATCATTGTGCCTGATGTCGGCAGTTTAATCTGCATTCAAACCGGCAGATGTTTACTTACAGTGATGTCTATCATTTTTCATAGAAAATCCAAATACCTCTCTCTTTCATTCAAATTTTACTTAGTTTCCTCCTATAGTTAGCGATTCCAGCGAACCTGAAAATATATCACGTGTGTTGGTTGTCAAGTTGCCTAAATACAAACATTTGAGTAGCTTGAGGTGTTCTTTTTAACCTGCTTCACAAGTATACATATCTTTTCTCAGATCGCACATATTTACCCCCTTCCCTCCAGTCTTTACCCAGATATTTTTGACAGTCAGCTTCTGTTTTCATGTTTTTGCAATCGGGTGGCGGGGGCTGAAGCTGTTGCTAAACTCGTGGGGTAATATTTGACGACTGCATTAAAAATATGCTAGTTCAATCGTCTCATTCCATTCATCGTATTTCATATTTGTTCAAGATGTACTTTTTGAGCTATGCACACAGTTCGAGAAACGAAAAGTACAGACTGATAGATATAAGCATAATTTTGCAGCTTGTTATCAAAAGCATGTACTTTTCAAATGTTGCATCGGTTTACAGAGAAACATTCTCCAGAATGAGGTCTCTGAAATAGCTGCTCTTAGAGAATTTAGGATAATAAAGTGAGTGTGGAGCAATGCCTATTATACGACGGTTTTAATCGTACAGAGAGAGAGAGAACACGAAAAATGTTCAGCAAAACGATAAAAGGCACTATAAAGCATTTATGACTGTTTTGAATCTTGTTTGGGCTATCGGATCCCACATTCGCGATCCTCAATTGGGTCGATAGACTGAAGGACCGCTGCTGAGATTCAACAGCATTAAAGTAGCTATATATATTTCTGACTTTTCCGGTCACTCTTCCTTTAACATGCGTACGGCAAAATCTAGCATACAATTTGGCATACCGCGAAATTGCGGATCAGCAATTGTATGAACCAAGAAATTTCATTTTGTTTAAATGTCAATAAATACTTCCACTGGATCAATCAGCTGATCCACTCCGATGTGAATCTCCTCATTTATTCCATTTCGCCTGTTCACCGAGCTTGGCAATTTGTTTGCAAACGTTTCACTACCAGCCGAGGTGACATCATCAGTGCTTGTGAATTGGCAGTGTTCTGCTTGTATCCGTTTGTTTATATATGTGTTCTTCTCCACCGACCATTTTTCTCCCTTGTTCTCATTGTGTTCGACTCGGTTCGGTGCGTGGGGGTGAGGTTGGTAGGTGAGGTAGTTGTCCATCCGTCCTGATTGCGGTTTCGGTTCGTTCTCAGGTCACGCCGTGACCTTTTTTGTTGCGTCATTTGATCCTTGAGTTGCACTAGCGTGTGCACGTGATCCAGTTCGATTTGCCTGTTTATTGAGTTGATTGAGGAGTGCCAAGCTTCGAGAAATTCTCTGGCGTGTTTTGACCGGGCTTGGTCGATAATTTTCACTGATTCGAAATCAAACTGATGTCCTCCTTGATCTTCGTGCAGGGAAATCAAAGATAATGAGTGGGTCATGTCTCCTGACTGCCGATTGGTGTTCACGGATTCCTATTGACAGTTTTCTCCCAGTTTGTCCGAGCAGTTCTTGCAGTTTATTTTGTGGATAACCCAGCTCTTGTCCTTCTCCATTGTTCTCGCCATTGGTTTTGACAGAATTCCCTTTAAACAGGTGATCGGTTTGTGGGCGACTAGAATTCCGTTTGATCTGAGCAGTCTTGATGTCATTTCCGAAACGTCCTTGATATACGGCAGGGTCTTTCTGGTTTGCGATTCTCAGTCTGTTCTTTCAGCCAGAAATCTTTTGATGAAGTTGCAGGTGTAGCCATCGCGAGCAAACACTCTGTGTAGGTATCTTTCTTCTTGAGCATGTCGATGCTACAGTGCGTTTAGATTTTTCCGAACAGGGTTCTAACACAACATCTTTTGTGGCTGTGTGGATGACTGCTTTTAAAGTTTAGGATTTGATCCATATGTGTTGCCTTGCGGTAGACCGTTCTCTCCAGTTTTCCTGAAGGCGTTCTGATGAGCAAGATGTCCAAAAACGTCAATTGTTTATCCTTCTCCATCTCCACTGTGAACTTGACGCCATTCGATGTGTTATTGATCATGCTGTGTTTTCTTTCTAATTCCAGGTCTATTTTCTCTCTTTGTGGTTTTTCACATATCCATTTGGAACATCGTGGCGGTCTCCGAAACTCCTTAATTCCAGCCTTAAGTGGACAGAGTGTATGATGCATTTCAAGCGCTGTGTTCACTAGGTGGAGCGTGGACAAGGAGACCATTCTACGACACTGAGGTTAATAATTTGCATTCATTCCCCTGGGTGCCGATCATACACAACTAAACAAATTTGACGATTATGTAGGCAATTAACCGGACCGTATTTGCGTGCACAGCACCAAGCAAGTAAACATCTTTGATCATTTGTTATTACTGGGCCCTCGTTAGACTCATCACGTTTGGCTACCGCATATCACTACATTGCAAATCAGTTGCCAGTCACAACAACAGTCATAACAACAGTCCATAAACAAAATATTTTTCACTTACTTTCAATCCTCGATCCACCCAGAACGTTAGTACATGTAAATATGATTCAGTCTAATCCAAAGGCTAACTTATCCACGGGTTAATCGGAGAGACAGGTTCGTCGGTATAGTAGAGATTTTGAAAGGGAATCAGTTGAAACACGACCTGGCTTATGTACTCGGATGATAACTAGCTCTCAACAACTGTATGCTATTTTCCACTTTAACTTTAGGTTTCATTTCAATTATTATTTTGGGTCAAACTGAAAGTTATACGTGAAACACTTCGCCTCAGTTTATATATATATATATATATATATATATATATATATATATATATATAGATAAATTAATCGCATAGAGAACAGTTATCCAAAGATGAGGTAGACTGTTTGTAATAGGTACGATAATTCACGCTTCCTGTTGTCCGTCGAAATGAAACGATGGTCAGCGATGATAATTATGGATACTTCAATCAACCATATTTCATGTGAATTCATATAAAAACGTCCCCAACTGTATGTTGAATCATAGAATTGCTTACCACTATTCAGCAAGTGAATACGAACAAACAAAAAGGAGACTAGGGTTCACAGGACGGAATGCTTGAAATGGCTACATTGTGGGAAACCAGGAGTGACGAAATCAATTGGTGGAATGTTAGTTCATCTAGAAAACGAGTATTTGGAACATGTAGACAAAAAAACTTGACATGCCAGTCACATTCAACCAAACTACCTAAAGACATTGCAACCGATCAATCGAATGCTAGGTTGGTATGATCGTGCAGTGAAACACAATGAATCCGATCTCAGTAGTCAGTAAAATTATCACAATGCACACAGGATGCATATACATCACCTGATTTCCATATAGCCTAGTGAATTTAACCCTGAACAAACGATACAATAGATTTATTTGACTGACTATCACCTCCAAACCCCTTATTTCTACCAGAAATACAAAAATACCACTGAGGTGAATGATATTTATTGCGAGCCTACTTATATTTTGGCTAATAATTGCTCCATCAAATTGACTCAGCAAGATACCAAAGCAATCGGAACTTTGGAACTGACGAAATGTAGATGCTCTGCAAATTTGACTGGTCGGATGAGTATATCAAAGCATAAGGGGAATTCGATCGAAAGAGCTAACACAATTTTTCCACGCAACGTAAACACGAATACGAAGCTTTGTTTTGCGCTGAGGAACCATTTTAACTGATGTAGAAGCACCTGACCTACAATTATTTTCTTTCTTGAATCGGCTACGACAAAGATTATAGGCACCACAGTGTGCAGAATTGTTGATCAAAACTTGTGTAACTTTATCTGTGTATACTGGGATGCTAGTGCGCCCACAATGAGCGGAAAACAATTTAGCGAAACTGCTTTTGAGGACCGAAGTGGACGCACCCGTACAAGACGGTGGTACCTACTGTGTGTTGAGTTTCCACATGATCCTGCCGCGATCTGTAACTGTTTCTACAGAATACACTACGGACTATACTCATTTAAACGAGAACAAGGCAGAAAGTCAGTAATTAACCGGTTCAAACATTTGGTATTTATTTACATGTCTAGCTTAGGCTTAATTCAGATGGCTGCATTTCAATTTTCCAAATTTAATTATAATGGCAAAGACAGGCTATGCGCTATCGTATAGATGGAAATTGACAAACGGTCTGATCAGTTCCCCGGTGGCCAAGTGAGTAGCATGTTTGTAC